GGTGCGGCGCCAAGCGTGCATGCACAGCAAAGCGGCTCAGGCCTACGCCTAACAAAGTGAAAGGGCCCGAGCACCTCCCAGAGGGAGTGCCAGCAGGCGCAGCCAGGGGCCTACTCGCCCTCGGCGGCTTCGTCCACGACAACCAGGTCTCCGACCAGGGCGTCGAGGACGAAGTCGGCGAACGGCTGAGGCCGAGCCTGGCCGCTGGCTGTGGGCAGCAGCAAGCCAGAGCGCGGGTGCCGCCCTTCCCGCAGGCGGCCCACGCGGGACCGCGTCTGTGGGGGTATGACCCCGAGGCAAGGCTGCGCGAGGAGCTGTGCGTTCTCGCTGGGATGCGCCCCGCACCTCGCGCAGAAAACGAAGGGCCCCGCGACCCAGACGCGGTGGCCTCCGCCAGGGCTACACGCCGCTGGCACGAAACCATCTCGCGTCCTGGCGACGCGGAAGCAGCGACTGCAGCGATAGCCCTTGCCACACGGCACGGGCTCGCGCACCCCCGCTGGCAGCGCCGTGTCTGCCGTCAGCTCGGGGGCGCGGCCCAGTTTGCGTGCGCGTCGCAGGTGGCCAGGTCGCGGCGCGTCCTGCTGGATCGGGTCCGCTGAACGCAATACACGAGCCAAAAACCTGGCGACGAACGTCACCAGGTTGAAGGTGCGTCGAACCCGCTCCACCGCCACAGGGTCCGTGGGGTGAAGGGCCGCGCCCGCTCGGGCGCCGAGGTCCGCGTAGTGGTTCCCCCAGCGCTTGACTAGGCCATGCTCCGTGTCGCCGTCATCACAGCGACGGGCGTGGCCCTTGACCTTCACAATCTGGACCTCGCCGCCCAGGTCGTCCACACGATCCTAGATGCGAGTCCAGAGGTCCGCCGCCTCGCACTGAGCGCCTGTGGTCTCGGCGCGCCCGCGCGCGAAGCTCGAGACCACCCAGGCACAGTCCGAGTGGAAGCAGTAGGGCCCCAAGGCCACGTGCGTCAGGTACATCAGGAGGGCGAAGGCCTCAGCGAGGTCCGACGCGTGGTGCGGGCCAGGATGCAAGCCGCACAAGGACGCAGACAGGCAGCCCTGTGCGCCGACCTGAACCACGGACCAGCCCGCTCGACAGAGTCGGGGGTCTCCCCGCACAGGTGAGGTACAGGAGCCGTCACCGAAGGCCGAGCCTTCGATGCTACCAGAGGCAGGGCGCTTGAGCCACTGGACGAGGAGGGAGGAGGACGGGCTCGGGACAGAGGGCCGAGGATCGGGGACCAGGGCGTGCCTCCAGAGGGCCCAGGCCGAGTGCACACCCAAGTCGGCCCCCAGAGAAGGAGGGAGGTCATACCCACGCACGTACTCCCACGTGGCCGAGCACACTCCTGAAACCCAGGCTTCGAAGGTGCCAGGGCAGGATTCTATGTGACACAACGGGCACGCGCGACAATTCGTGAGGCCATGGCGCACCTTTCGAGCCTGATCCCAAACTCCATTCGAGACAACCGTGCGAAGGGTGGCCTCATGCCGAGTGGTCCACTCAGGCCCAAGCGCTCCGTTGCAGAGGCGTCTGAGGGGGGCGAGGTAGGGGCGGGAGGGGGGGCCAGACATAAACTCCGAGCTCTGCTGGGCTCGGTCGAGGAGCCAATCTTCCGTGCTCAAGCGCGCCAGGTGTTGGACCGTCCGCGGACAAACCGAGAGCAGGTCAACCTTGAAGCCCTCCCTGGTTTCTAACGAACACACCCCAGGGCCAAGCTTCCACCCGATGCGCCTGCAGCTGGCTAAAGCCGCCGAAATCGGGCCACGCGCAGAAACCCACTCGCTTTTCGAAGCGGTGGGGCGATCCAGGGCGGCATCGGCGGCGAATAAAAGTCGGGCGATCCACTCCCGAGAGATCCAAGACTCCCAGACCGCCTGGGCAAGCGTATAAATCGGACTTACCGTGCGCACGTACGCTGGGTCGATCGTCCGCGGCGCCGAGGGGGTGAGGTGGAGGTCGAGAGTGAGGGAGCGCCGAGCGGTGCGAACGAGGAGAGCAGCGTGAGCAGCACGTCGCATCGGTTCGATCCCACTCCAAGCCCTCCCAGTCACACCATCCCCCCAAGTACCAGCAGGCGTGAGACCTAGAGAGACCAGCTGCTGCGTTTTGCCTCGCGCCGGCCGCAGCACTCGAATGCGTGCCGAGCGTCGAATCGCGGTGGCCATGCGCTTGCTCCTCGTAGCTGCACCAGGCCGCCGCCCGCAGCCGTAGTCCAGGTTCCGTGCTGAGCGGCGGCCCTTGCCCCGCAGCGCCGCGCAGCGCCGCTGGACCTCGCGGCTGCACTCGGAGGTGTTCGCCAGGACCACCCCATTGCCGTCGTTGACCGTCAGGCCGTCGTCCAGCAAGCCGCCTCGCAGCGTCGCATGCGCCGCGCTGACCTGAGCCGCCACGCGCCTCGCCAAGCCCGTCCGGGCCAGCTGGATGTCGTCGACCACGTTGCTCACCTGCACCGTCCGCAGGGCCACGATGGCGTCCAGGCGCGGCAGCAGGAACATCCGCATGCACATGTCGGCGAAGCTGCAGCCTGCCACTACGCCCCGCTGGGGGCGACATGCCGCGGTGGCCACGCCTTGGTAGCAGACGATGCGCTTCATGCTGTAGGCCTGGAGGAGGAGCCTCATCATATGCATACTGAAGCCCTGGGCCTCGGCGCGCTGGACCAGCAGCGCCTAGGGGATGTGCTCGTGCGCCTTGGACAGGTCCATGAGCACCGTGCAGGCAGCCTGGCCACGGTGAGTGGCCACCTCCGCTGTCGCCGCCTGGACCCACACGCAGGTCTCGCAGCTCTGGCCAGCGGTGCCGTAGATGTAGTCCCTGTGGTGGAGCGCGGCCCAGCGGGCGCCGAGGGAGTGCCTGGTCCACCGCGTGAAGGGTCGCATGATGCCTGGCGTCAGGCCAACGGTGCGCACGCCGCCCTCGGGCTTCGGCAGCAGCGCCATCTGCGTCGCCGCCGAAGCCTGCGGCGCGTAGCCCAACGTCAGCATGCGGCGCCAGAGCGCGATGCAAGCCTCGAGCGCGGCATCGCAGGGCACCGTCACGTGGCGCGGGTGGATGGCGTCGCAGCCCAAGCCCGTGAGGAAGGGGAAGGTGTGCCCGACCTGGCGAAGCTCCTCCACCGTGGGCAGGCGTGGGAACTCGCCTAGCTCCTGGGGCCAGGAGACCGCAGCACTGCCAGCGCCCTCGCCCCAGGGCGCATGCCACGGTCGCGCAGCCGCCTCCGCCACCAGCTGTGCGGACTGGAGCCCCGTCTTGGGCCGCCAGCGGTCCGCTGCCCAGGGGGCGGCCTCGCGGAGCCAACGGAAACCTTTGCGAAGGCCATCGCCAGCCGTGGCCTCGCGCGACCAGTCGAGCCAGGCCTTGTAGCGGCGGTGGGACGCGCGGCCCTCGGCAGCGTCAGCGGCCCGCTGAAGAGTGCCCAGGAGCTCGTCCACCTGCTCGGCCGCGAGAGAGGGGGGCCTGCGAGCCAGGCGGCGCCAGGTCTGCCAGATGACCTGGTCTGCGCCCGGCACAGGCGGCTTGAAGCGAAGCAGCTTCACCTGCAGCCTCCTCGCGTGCTGGTGACTGCCCGCGCGCCTCAGGACCTGCCATTCGCGCAGCCGTTCCGCCAGCCAGCTCCAGTGCTGCTCCGCGGGGGCGGCCCTGGCAGTGGGCGTCCAGCGCTGTCGCTGACGGCGCAGCTGCACCTGGGCTAGGCGAGCTCCTTCGCTCCTGCCGCGGTAGCGGTCCGCCTCGCGGCCTGCGCCCGGGCCGAAGTGCTGCAGCAGCTCGTCCTCGTAGCGGTCGAGGGCACGGCTGCAGGCGGCGTCCAGCCCAGCAGGCGTCACCGCCGCGTCGAGGTCATCGATCGCGTCCTGCCAGCCTGGTGGGGGCAGCTGCGGCCCGATGAGCGCCTTCACGGGGAAGGGCCGCGGCCTGCGCAGGCGTAGGACCGTCGCGCCAGGCGGAGGGAGGGCCAGCTGCAGGACGACGGCCCTGTGAGTGCGAACCGCGAAGCGGTCGCACCTGCGGACAGACCGCGCAGCTGCATCCTGGCTCACGCAGAAGAAGTCGATCTCCCGAGCAGCCTTGTGTGTGACGCATGTGGCTGCACTGGAGCATGCTAACCTCGCGTCCAGGGACAGGAGCAGCTGCGCCTCCTCCACCACCTCTGGGGTCATGTTCCAGTCGGCCCCGACCACGAATGGCCTGCGCATGGCTCGAATCACGGAGCCGAGGTTCATCATCAAATTCAGGTTGAAGTCGCTGAGACCTTGACTGGTGTGGAAGTACGCTGACACCAACAGCGTGCCTTCGCGATCGCCGAGGGAGGTCATCCAAAAACCAAGGCGGGCCGAGCAGCGAACGGCGATGCGGTCATCGGCGAACTCGACGCGCTGGAGATGTACCCAGGGGCGGACCAGGATTCCCACGCCTGCCGAGGTGCCGCCTTTAGCTGCGGCCACAGCAGGGATCAGGTCAGCGTGCCAGCCTGCGGCGCGAGCGGCGCGAGCCGCCGAAGCCAGCTGGCGGGGCTCGGTCAGGTGGTGCTCCTGGATCAGGATGGCTTGGATGCCGTCATCCACGTTGCCCTGCTCCAGCTGCGTGAGGCAGGACGTCCAGCATGTCACGTTCACGGTCATGATCCCGACGTGAACGTCCCGAGTGCGCGCAGTGCGGTCTGGCCGCGGCCCTCGCCGCTTGCCCTTCGCAGTCGTGCAGCATCCCGCGGTGTGCCCAGCGGCAGCCGCCGCAGGCCCAGCCGCCGCGCCAGGCCAAGGGGAGCCCCCGCGAGCAGAGCCGCCGCCAACGGCCAGCACGCCACCAGCGCCATGAGCTCCAGGATCCACTGGCCGAAGGGCGCCGCGCGGTGGTACTCCTCGGACAGGTGGTGCCTGTTGTAGTACCGAGCTGCCAGTAGGGCTCGGCGTCGAACGGGTAGATGAACGACATGGCCCGTGCCCACTTCGTTGGCCACTCCCGTTGACGACATTGGGAGTGGCACCGTGGGGGGGCGCCTCCCATCCTGCAGGCGGCAGGTGGGCAGGCAGGTGGATGCCGTAGGTGCCGAGGTCGTGAAAGCCGACGGCACTGAGGAGCCAATGGATGCCGTTGCCGTTGTCGAACGCTTCCGTCTCCTGGTGCAGCGCGTGGAGGTGCTCGAGCAACCCATGGGGCCACACCTCAGGGTCGTCGATGCGCATGCGGGCCAGCCAGGCACGGTACCGTGCTCGAGCAGCGCGGCGGCGTCGAAGAGCAGCGAGACAGATATCGATGGCCATATCGACTCGCGCCGCTCCAGGATTGTCGTGCCCATCTCGCCGCGCGCGCTCCCAGACCAGTGCTAGGAAGCTCTGGTGAGAAAGGAAGCGGGCAACGAAAGGGACGCAATGCTGGTGCCAGTGCAAGTCGCCCCTCACCTCGTCGTCCGCCATGGGGTCCTCCAGCCGGTGGCGGCCCGTGCACGTGCGCAGGGCCCGCAGCACGGCGTCGAGGCTCTCGAGGCCCTCGCAGCTAGCTGGTCCCGCATCCTTGAGCCCGTGCTCCCCGAACGAGTACTCCCTGCTCAAAACCCGCTGGATGCGTGGCCGCGCCGCGCCTTGGCCTCGCAAGCGGCCGCGCCGAGTGCGCCGCTGCCGCTGGGCAGCAAGCGTGGGCTCGTGAGCCTCCGCGAAGACGTCGTGCCTGAGTCCTCCGTCAGGCAGTGGGCCTGCGTCAAAGCCCCGACTGATCCTTGTCCGCGCCTGCGGGGCTAGCCGCCTCCTTGCCAGTGCCTCCGCTGGGAAAGCTGCGGCCTCCCTTGGCGGCTCGGCCCTTGCCGCTCGCAGCCGCCTTGCTGGCGGCGAGGCGTTGGCGGCCTGCCTCCAGGACGTCCACAGCAGCAGCCGCCGCGCCTGGGGCGCCCGCACTCGCAGCAGCAGCAGGGGCGGCTGGCGAAGCAGGCGGCTGCGTCGGCGGGGCGGCAGCCTGCGCGCCGCCAGCAGGAGGCGTTGCGGCTGGCTCAGCGGGCGGCTGATCCCCTGCAGGACCTGGTGCACCCGAAGCCTCCTGCGGCGGCTGAGGCGGCGGGGAGGTCGTGGTGCGCCGCTTCTTCTTGAGTCGGGCTCGCAGCTCGCGATGAGCCTTCTCCAGAGCCTCCGCCTCCGTCTTGAACTGGCCGAAAGCGTCCTGAGCCATGGCCGCGAAGCGCGCCTGGAGCTCCTCTAGCCGCCGCTGCGCCTCCTGTCGATCGCTCTCCTCCACCTCGTAGTCTTCCAGGGCCTCCAGTCCAAAGAGGCCTTCATCATCCAGCTCCCACGCCGCCTTGCCCGCCAGCAAGGCCGAGGCGCTGAGCTTGGGCACCGCCGACGCGGACGGGCCTGTCTTGCCCTCGAAGCCCACTGGCGCCACCGACACCGCCAGAGCCTGCACCGCGCTGGTGTAGGTCGCCTGCGCGCCGTCCAGAGCGGCTGTGCACTTGGCGACCTTCTCCGTGGCCTGGTCGAGCTGCTGCTGGAGCGCGTCCGCCTCCTCCAGCGCGGCGTCCAGGGCAGCGGCAGCAGCATCTCGCGCAGCGCCAGCCTCTGCCGCAGTGAGGGGCCTGGCCAAGCGCTGTGCGCGGAGGGTGTCCAGCTGGTGCTTGTACTTGGCGACGGCGGGCTCGTCGCCCGAGAATCGGAGGAGTTCCACCAGCTGGATCAGCTTGGCCTCCTCGGGGTCAGCGTCGGGCGCCAGTGCCTGGTCCGCGTCGGCAGCCATGCGCACTCCTCGGCTGGAGCTGCGTGGGCGTCCTCCAGCTCCGCGAGCACCGCCGTCAGGAACCCCGTCGCGGCGCGACCCCGCGGCATCCTGGCGCCATGGGGGTTCGCGAGCAGCACGTCCGAGGCTGGTGGAGCGGCGGCGGCTGCCAGCGCCACCGCGAGCAGCTTCACCAGCTGGCACCAGCTGGAGCGGGCGCTTGCAGTGACAGCACCACGTCCACCAATGCTCGTTCTTGCGGCACCCGCAGTGCGCGCACGCCTGGGCGCGCCCGCCGCTGTTGCCGCTGCCAGCCATCGCCATGGCGTCGTCGTCGTCCCCAGTGCCGCCGCTTCGGGCGAGAGCCAACAAGGGCGCCGCCGAGCCGTGGTGCCCGTCGAGCAGCGCCGCGGCGGCCTCGAGCTGGGCGCGCTGGCCGGGGGAAGGCGTGCCCCGCCACGCGTGCAGAAGAGCGCGTGCCGCAGCACGCGCGCGGCGCTCGCGCCTGTGCCACGCCGCCTCCGTGGGCAGCGCGATGGTCCCCGCCCGAGGGGAGCCTGCGGCGGCCTGTCCGCCCCCAGGCCTTCGGGCAGAAACTAGGAGGACAGGAGGAGGTGGAGGACGAGGAGGAGGAGGAGGATAAGGAGAAGGAGGAAGAGAAAGAGGATGATGAGGAAAAGGAGGATGAGTAAGAGGAGGAGGAGGAGGAGGAGGAGGAGGAGGAGGAGGGGGAGGAGGGAGGAGGAGGAGGAGAGGAGGAGGAGAGGAGGAGGAGGAGGAGGAGTAGGCGTAGGAAGAATAGGAAGAGGAGGTGGAAGAGGAGGGTGAGGCAGTGGAGGAGGAGGAGGAGGAGGCGGAGGAGGATGAGAAAGAGGATGAGGAGGACCTGGAGGAGGAGGAGGAGGATGATGTGGAGGAGCGGGGGGGAGGAGGAGGAGGATGAGGATGATGATGATGATGATGATGATGATGATGAGGAGGAGGAGGAGGAGGAGGAGGAGGAGGTGGAGGCGGAAGCGGAGGCGGAGGTGGAGGCGGAGGCGGAGGAGGAGGCGGAAGAGGAGGGGGACGCTGATGATTATGATGACGATGATGATGATGCTGATGATGATGATGATGATGATGATGATGATGATGATGACGACGATGATGATTATGATGATGATGATGCTGATGATAATGATGCTGCTGCTGATGATGATGCTGATGATGATGATGATGCTGATGATGATGATGCTGATGATGATGATGATGATGATGAGGATGAGGATGAGGATGAGGATGAGGATGAGGATGCGGATGATGATGATGATGATGATGATGATGATGATGATGATGATGCTGATGATGATGATGATGATGATGATGATGATGATGATGATGATGATGATGATGATGATGATGCTGATGCTGATGCTGATGCTGATGCTGATGCTGATGCTGATGATTATGATTATGATGATGATGATGATGCTGGTGATGATGATGAGGAGGAGGAGGAGGAGGAAGAGGAGGAGGAGGAGGAGGAGGAGGAGGAGGAGGAAGAGGAATACTCAATAATCAACATTATACTAAGAATAGTAAATGTAGCTTCCCGCAGATGCGGATAAGAGTGGAGGGGGTGGTGGGGATGTCGGCAGTTTGCGAGACTCTGGAGGAGCCCGCTGGAGGCGCCAACGTTTCACAAATTAAACAACGACCTCGCCGCAGGCACCGATTTTTTCATTAAGCCAATGTGGGTGCGTCGCGGTTGGGTCGCAAATGGGTCGCGGGTGGGTCGCGGGTGGATCGTTGTTGGGTCGCGGGTGGGTCGTGGGTGTAGAGGGCAGAACATTCACCCCATAATAATCACCACGACAAGCGAAGCCGTTTAGTAAACGCACACAAGGGATGAATCGAACAGGGCAGGGGTGTTAAGTCAACGCCCATAGCCTTTTCGTACACGTCAATTGTCGGGTCTGTGTGTTTTCTCCTCCCGTGAGGGTGGGTCGCGGGGTGGGTCGCGGGTGGGTCGCGGGGTGGGTCGCGGGTGGGTCGCGGATGGGTCGCGGATGGGTCGCGGGTTGGGTCGCGGGGTGGTTCGCGGGGTGGGTAGCGGGGTGAGTCGCGGGTGGGTCGCGGGTGGGTCGCGGGGTGGGTCGCAGGTGGGTCGCGGTTTGGGTCGCGGGTGGGTCGCGGGGTGGGTCGCAGGTGGGTCGCGGTTTGGGTCGCTCCCAAAAGCACTGCGTCATATTCGACATCGAATTCAAACGTTTCGCATCCAATTGTTGCATCTTGAGCCGGTAGCAGTGTGTTCCAGACGCGCTTTCATCCTTAGCAGGAGCATCGTAACAGTTTGATTGTCCTTCTGTGATCGTCGAAGTGGTTTGAAGAAATTCAGCTGTTGCGAGATGAGCGACGCTTTTTAGGGAAAGGAGACATGTTCACAGCGTGTTAGTCCATTATTTTCTCATCGTTATCGCTCGACGAGGGCAGACCATTCGTCTTGATTTCTGTAGATATGTACGATTGTACGTATTTCGTCGTGAAGTATCCTCGAGGTGCATATGCGTTTCGTTGCCGACTTTGCTATGAGTTTGTGCGACGCCATAAACGTTTTGTTGAACCCATCTGTTTTCACTTTTGCCATGTAATTGCTAGGTGCTAGTGCAAAACATGAAATCTACTTCTGTGAAGTGTGACTGCAGTATCGCCCGGGCGCTACCGATGATCGAAATGTATGAGTTCTCCATACTCTTAAGGACGGCTTGAGTTCGGGTGGAATACGTTGGTGGCCGATGCTGCGTCGATATATATATATATATATATATGTATATATATATGAATGTATATATATATATATATATATATATATTATGCACATATACATATATATATATATGATGTTTTGTAGCGAGGATGGTGTAGCATACATTGTTCGTTTTGTTGCTTGCTTGATATAACATGCAATCGACAATTGCAGTCTTGCGCGCAGTCGCGAGTGTCATGCGCGTTGGATTTGATAGAAGGTCTGTGCCGCGGGGGGAGGCTTCTGCGCGGGCATGCTGCGGATGTCGCTTAAGCCGACTCAAAGATAAAAGCTCGCTTTGGTCTTTGTCGCGCGTCTGAACCAAGGCAACGCCCCCTTCTTTCAAACATTGTGCCCCGAAGATGGCAACGAAAAGAGGTGTGTTCTCCATGTTTCGGCGCCAGTGCACTGTATCTTCCTTGTTTTCGGTGAGTTTGCGCGCGTGCCAGCTTTTCCCTCGGCGCAAGCGATTGTTGCGTTTCCCAGTGTCTGTCATGCACGAATGGTGCTTGTGTCCCCTTCTTGGCGTCATGTGCCGATGCGTCGATGTTGTGGCGCGAAAGTCGCGGGCGCGCATCGGCGCATTCTGCGATGAATGCAGCCGGCGCGCCATCTCTCCTGCCAATGAACCCATGGGGGTTTCTCTCTGACACGCTGCCATCGCATGCAGGCAGGAACGCGCGTGGCGCTTTGATGGGCAAATGCTGACGGGCCGAGATGCGATGAGACATCGCGCCGAGGACGGCGCCGCGCGGATCTGCCGCGGCAGCCCCGGTGCGACGCGCCCGCCTTGGGAAATGCCGCCGGGCGCGCGGAACTCCAGGGCATTTCTGGCGAAAGCGCTGCGCGATTGCGTGAATTCGCGCAGGTGGTTGGCGTGAAGTGCGCGGGCAGGCGGCGTTTTCTCGTGCTCCGTCGGAATTTGTGCGGTAGTTGCGCCGCGCGTGCTGGACAGCCTCATTGCGCGCTGTTATTGATGTCGAAGGCGCAATTGGGGATATAACGTGTAATCTTGGGCTCGTCCTGCGAAGAAGCGTCTCTATCGGGCGGGGGGGGGCTCCCGTGCAACCGGGGCCGCGTGTCCGAAAGGGGCCGCATTGCGGCGATCCGGGTGAATTTTAGACGGCGACCATATCGCCGCGCAGTGGATTGATGAAACAGGATGCGAGGATTCAAACCCCGACGCTCACGGAGCCCAATGCTGGGCGTTTTCAGCTTAAAAGCACGTCGGTAGGGTGGGCCGTTCCATGAGCTCGCTTGACTTTTGCCGGGCAAGTCAAAATTGAAGAACATTTTTTGGGAAGAGTCACCCTGCATTTTTCCCAGAGCTCCAGTGCGCGGAAGACGCCCCGAGAACGCAATCTAGGCCTCTATCAAAATAGCCCTTTC